GAAATTTCCCAGGTATATTTTATAGCCGGGTGAAAAGAATTGACTGCGGCTATGAACTGAGTTAGCTCCTCTCTGGTAGAGGAGGTAGGGCGGATACAGTCGTCGATGTAGCGAGCGTAGAGTTCAGGTTTGGGGCCAATGTATTGGCTAAAAAATTGGTGTTCAAAAAACAAAACCTACAAAAAGGTTGGCATAGCTGGGTCCCATTTTGGTACCCATGGCTACGCCGTTGGTTTGTTTGAAAAAGTTGTCCCCGAATGAAAAACAATTAAGTGTGAGCACGAGTTCAGCTAAGCGAATTAGGATTTCAGATTTACGTTCCCTAACAGTACATTGATAAAAAAAATGTTTGAGGGCCAGAAGACCTTCGCCATTAGGAATGACAGTGTAAAAAGAAGTAATGTCCATGGTTAAAAGAAGTTTGTTCTGGCCAAGAAAATTAAAGTCGCGAAGAATTTGAAGAGCGTTTCGGCGGTCTTTGATGTATGATGGTAAAGTTTTGACGATGGGAGCCATAATTTTGTCTAAATAGCTGGACATGAGTTTGGTAGGGCAACTGCAAGCCGAGACAATGGGCCGATCTGGGTTGTTAGGTTTGTGAATTGTGGGTAAAAAGTAAATGCAAGAGTTCTAGGAGTGGTTATGATGAGATTTTTGCAGTAGCCGGCAATTTTCTTATTAGCGAGGAAAGGTGCAAGCATTAAGCAGAATTTTTGCTTGTCGAATAAGGGAGAAGATGGATTCAGTTGGCTACAACTCCAAGTTCATTATTGGACTAGCTTGGTACAACTGTTTAAGGAAGTGAGTGCAAGCCCGCTGGTGAGGTTATCTGAACACGCCTAGTATCACGTGATCCATAACAAAAAAGCAAAGAAAAAAAAACTAGAGTTCTCATGAAATTTACAATTTGAGTTTTTTAAGTCTTCTTTAAATATACAAAATTACCTGCAAGCATTTTCCTTTAGCATGAAAACGTACAAAATGGGAGCAAAACTGCATCGACCAGCTTTTTTTTAGGGTAATTTCTCGGTTTTTCTTTTTTAATTTTTTTTATTTGTCAGACTCGTGCCTGCGTTTCAACGAAGATATATTTTCTTTTGATTTAAAGCGGGGATATAAAATGCAACTTTTCGTTTTCGAGACCGGTACGTTTTTTGTCTGCAACTGAAGGAGAACTCCATAGTGCAATTCTACAATTCTGAAACGTCCTGTTTATGAACTACTCACACAAAACTGATCAAACTCTGTAACGGACCGGTTAACTACTGGATCCGATCATCGATATAGGAGGCAACGATATAGGAGGCAGCGTGGCCGAGTGATTTGCGTGCCGGACTCGCAATTTAACGCTCCCGGGTTCGAGTCACGTCCTGGCCACCACCTGGATTTGTTTCACGGAAGCTCCGAGTTCAAATTCTCAACCACGCTTGAAGAAAGCCAACTGGTTTGCCTCCGGCCAGTTGGGATTCTTAACAATGTTTAATTTGAAATATTTGTTTCAGCTCTTTGCTCGGCCCCACTAGCTCTTGTGTGCTATAAACGCTGCCGAGGGTAAGATAAAGTTATTTATTTATTTATTATCCATAAATCAAGAATGAGAGGTTTTTAAAACCATATTTTCAACGACTTGAAAGCAATAGGTCACATACAAATGCAATGCAGAGAAAAAGAATATTAACGTTGACGAGGAATTTTTGAAAACAAATCACAAAATTTATACTTACACTTCCTCCAAGGCGAACATTCCTTGAAGAATGTTTGGAGGCAGCTTTTCCAGTCGATTACCACTCAACCGCCTACACATAGAAAACGATAAAAGAAGATCTAATCGAATTGCACGAAAGATGCTTCAAACTTAGGGCAGAGATTTTCTGATTATTTTATTGTACTTAGAATATCCACATCACAAATGCTAGTCCCATTTTCGGCGTGATTTTCTAGTTTAAGTCTGTATTAGAGCGCAAAATTTTCATTACATCATTCGCTTTTAGTTCCGGGATATCGTTGCAATTTTCTTTTCCTTTGAATGCGATCATCTTTTAGTGCGTGTTAAAAAATGAACGTGGACAACATTCTCTCGAAAAGAGCCCTGATTCTTTTGTTTCTGTTCTGCGGGTCACCGTTAGCCTCACTATCAAGTGGTGGACTTTAC